GGAGTCACAGAGGTACATTTCGGACTCCTTACCTCTTCCGGTTCCCAAATTAGGTCCATTTGATGTTCCTCCCTTGGATTGAGACCGTTTCACTCATGTTTGTCCTCATAGTCATGTGTAGAACTATTAATCCATGTTTGGGTAAGTATGGGTCCATCTAGTTCATCTTATACACTACAAGTGAGTTTCCTCAATGTGGAGTCACAGAGGTACATTTCGGACTCCTTACCTCTTCCGGTTCCCAAATTAGGTCCATTTGATGTTCCTCCCTTGGATTGAGACCGTTTCACTCATGTTTGTCCTCATAGTCATGTGTAGAAGCTATTAATCCATGTTTGGGTAAGTATGGGTCCATCTAGTTCATCTTATACACTACAAGTGAGTTTCCTCAATGTGGAGTCACAGAGGTACATTTCGGACTCCTTACCTCTTCCGGTTCCCAAATTAGGTCCATTTGATGTTCCTCCCTTGGATTGAGACCGTTTCACTCATGTTTGTCCTCATAGTCATGTGTAGAAGCTATTAATCCATGTTTGGGTAAGTATGGGTCCATCTAGTTCATCTTATACACTACAAGTGAGTTTCCTCAATGTGGAGTCACAGAGGTACATTTCGGACTCCTTACCTCTTCCGGTTCCCAAATTAGGTCCATTTGATGTTCCTCCCTTGGATTGAGACCGTTTCACTCATGTTTGTCCTCATAGTCATGTGTAGAACCTATTAATCCATGTTTGGGTAAGTATGGAACCATCTAGTTCATCTTATACACTACAAGTGAGTTTCCACAATGTGGAGTCACAGAGGTACATTTCGGACTCCTTACCTCTTCCGGTTCCCAAATTTGGTCCATTTGATGTTCCTCCCTTGGATTGAGACCGTTTCACATGTTTGTCCTCATAGTCATGTGTAGAACCTATTAATCCATGTTTGGGTAAGTATGGAACCATCTAGTTCATCTTATACACTACAAGTGAGTTTCCTCAATGTGGAGTCACAGAGGTACATTTCGGACTCCTTACCTCTTCCGGTTCCCAAATTAGGTCCATTTGATGTTCCTCCCTTGGATTGAGACCGTTTCACTCATGTTTGTCCTCATAGTCATGTGTAGAAGCTATTAATCCATGTTTGGGTAAGTATGGGTCCATCTAGTTCATCTTATACACTACAAGTGAGTTTCCACAATGTGGAGTCACAGAGGTACATTTCGGACTCCTTACCTCTTCCGGTTCCCAAATTAGGTCCATTTGATGTTCCTCCCTTGGATTGAGACCGTTTCACTCATGTTTGTCCTCATAGTCATGTGTAGAACCTATTAATCCATGTTTGGGTAAGTATGGGTCCATCTAGTTCATCTTATACACTACAAGTGAGTTTCCTCAATGTGGAGTCACAGAGGTACATTTCGGACTCCTTACCTCTTCCGGTTCCCAAATTAGGTCCATTTGATGTTCCTCCCTTGGATTGAGACCGTTTCACTCATGTTTGTCCTCATAGTCATGTGTAGAAGCTATTAATCCATGTTTGGGTAAGTATGGGTCCATCTAGTTCATCTTATACACTACAAGTGAGTTTCCACAATGTGGAGTCACAGAGGTACATTTCGGACTCCTTACCTCTTCCGGTTCCCAAATTAGGTCCATTTGATGTTCCTCCCTTGGATTGAGACCGTTTCACTCATGTTTGTCCTCATAGTCATGTGTAGAACTATTAATCCATGTTTGGGTAAGTATGGGTCCATCTAGTTCATCTTATACACTACAAGTGAGTTTCCTCAATCTGGAGTCACAGAGGTACATTTCGGACTCTTACCTCTTCCGGTTCCCAAATTAGGTCCATTTGATGTTCCTCCCTTGGATTGAGACCGTTTCACTCATGTTTGTCCTCATAGTCATGTGTAGACTATTAATCCTTGCTTTGAGATTGATAGTGTTGCTAACAATCTATGACCCTAGAGCAGACATCAGCTAAAGGCACAAGCCTAACAGAAGCTCCTACAGTGGATCGACATGCTAGCTCAGCGAAATTTCTAAGGTAACCAAGCAATCTAGAGTTAACCTCACCCTTAATCAATCTTAATAACTCTTGTCAAGGGGATTGGCATACATGTCGACAGTTCCTTGCTTGATTTTCAATAAGATTTGTCTAACCTTGAAAGCAGTTCTCCTCTCTCTCCCATCCCTAAGGTAAGAAATATTTATGAGAAAAGCTCTAAGAGCACAAGGAAAACAAGTAAGCATGAGGAATGCATATGTCTGTACCTTCATGTCTTATGGAATACCTTATCAAACAAGGAACAAGCTAAAGACTTATCCTGTGGTTGATAGAAGAGGTCAATAGAAAAAATAAAATGATACCCTAGAAAAGTAGGGAGAAATTGACCTTTCAAAGTTCTGGATGTGAGAAAGAGAGAGGAAAAGAACTCATTGCACTTCAAAGACAATCTTGGAGAAGATCAAGTGGGTAAGAACAAGTCAATTGATCGATGTTCCCTTGATAAAGAACTCACGCTTTAAATTTTATGCAAGAGGTTAGCAATAGAGAGTTTGGATTGCTGGATGAGACTAGTTGGGTTGGTATTGTTCGCTAAACTTGCAGGGTGTATGTGAAGCTAACCTTATGTTGCCTATGTTCTTAGTGGAATACAGGAAAGGAACCCTTCACAGGATTTTCAAAGAGCAAGGGAGTTTCCACGTTTTCAAAACCTCTTCACTAGTTTAGATTCTGTTTGCTTGGGGACAAGCAAAGATCTAAGTCTGGGGGAGTTGATATACCTCTATTTTACACTTTTTATGCTATTTTACTATGGTTTTCTAATGGTTTTCTAGTGGATTCTTGTCTTAAAAGGTAGTTTTTATGGATTTATAGTGCAAAGAGTCATTTTAGGTAAAAGGTGCATTATGGAGCAAAACAGAGGATTTGGACTTCAAACCAGTCCACTGTCACAGCTTCTACTTTGGGAGGAAGCCCGAAGCCATTTCTGAAGCCCGTTTCACACGTTTCAAGCCCAAAACCGGCGCCGACTTACTAGATTAGGTCTAGCCGCTTTTCATACTTAACATTATAAATACTTCTTTTTAGCCTTGTAACTCAAGAAGGAGAGAGACCACAATTTACTTTACATCTTTAATAAAGTTTTGCTTGCTTTTACTTTGTTCTTGCTTGTTACTCTTTCTAGAGAGGATTCGAATCTCTGTTCTTATGAATATGAATTCGTTTTCCTTCTCTATGTCTGAGTAGTTTACTTGTTAAGTGATAGGAAGTCAAAGGATAGCATTCATGTATGCTTGATGATTGATCACATGAATTAGGGTTTTACTTATAATCTCATCTTTGCTTATACTTAATGCTTGTTGTTAATCTGGCCAATTAGCATATGATTTTAGGTTGATTTGAGCCTCGAAAGTGCTGTATCATTCGCCTGAACTAGTATTTGGTGGGCAACCTCTTTTAGACTGCGAAAGTTGATTTACTTGTAGGTTGTGAACAATTGAACTTATCGAACTAATGCTTGATTTAATCACCTAGGGACATACCAAAAGTTTAGCGACTAGGGAGATTAACAAAGGGGTCGGAGCCTCGACAGTGGAATGATCATACCATAGTGTTTCAAGTTCTAGATGGCACCTAATTGCAATAACCCTAATTGATTGATTTCTTGCTTCTTGAATTGCTTATCTTAAGACTATCCTATTGCTTAGCCCTTTCTCTCCTATTGAATTCAATCTTCTTATTACTTGCATGCCTTTACTTTCACTGCACTCAACCAATCTCATACTTTTTGCCCTAGCTCGATCTCAATCATAACTTGTAGTGTGCAATCTGGTCCTCGTGTTCGATACCCGTTTACTACTTCTGACCTGTGCACTTGCAGAATCAGGGATAGGAAAAGGGAAGACCTGATTCCGCGATCAACAGACCAAAGAAACTTTAACACAGTTGCACGAGGAGCAGTTGGCGTTGCGTACCTCTCTCTCGTCTGAACAACAGGTCCTTGCTAAACATGGTGACAACGGTGAAGAGAAAGATAAAACACCGATTTCGAAAGAAACCTCGAAAGTGGGTCCTTTGTTAGAAGAGGCAGGTGTGACATCACCAACTAAGGATGGTAGCAGCGACTCGGACAGTCATGGAGTGCATGGCGGAGAGCGCCGATCTGCTAATTCCAGTGGTCCTTGGCCGCTGCGTTTCGTAGGAACAGAGCGAGGTCATCGCCGTAAAGACGGCGGAGGTGACTGAACGGTCAGGCCTATCGGAGCTCTTGTTGACAACGTTCAGCTGGACACATCAGGGACAACAGGAGTTGAAGGTTACAAACCAGGGTGGTTAGCATCAGCAGCAAAAATAGAGTTCCCGCCGTATGACGGAACAACTAATGCTGTCGAATGGTTGCAAAAGTGTGAGGATTATTTAGATGATCAAAGAATTCGAGATGATGATGTGAAGGTTCGACAGGCAACTCTGGTATTATCTGAAAAAGCATACCAATGGAAGTACAACTTGCGTCGACTTATCACTCATCGTTTGGGATGGGCAGAATTTAAAAAAAATCTGCAAGAATCGATTTGGGAAAGCTGATGCAGTCAATATAGGAACTGTGGACGATTATTGCTCCCAATTCGAAGATTGTCTTGCTCGACAGACTAGACTTACTGGCGACCAACAATTGTGGCAATTTTGTGCATGTCTAACTGATACATTGCGAAAAGAGGTAGAATATCTTCGCCTAGAGACAATCTTTGAAGCGATGGAATATGCTCGGGATAACGAGTACAAGATAGAAGGCGATAGGCGTGCCCGCACGTTTGGAGGACATTGTGCTCCCTTTGTTCGACAGTTTAATTCCTTTGCTAAAACGGGAATAAGTGATATATATCTATTTTACATGCTTTTTATGCTATTTCACTATGGTTTTCTAATGGTTTTCTAGTGGATTCTTGTGTTAAAAGGTAGTTTTTATGGATTTATACTGCAAAGAGTCATTTTAGGTAAAAAGGTGCATTATGGAGCAAAACAGAGGATTTGGACTTCAAACCAGTTCAATGCCACTGCATCAACTTTGGATGGAGCTAAAAAAGATCTACTCAATGGATTTCATCAAGACCAGTTCCCTGCGTGCTCTGATTGAGTTAACTTTCCAATGCAAGTGGAGCGGCCTCATTTGGATGAGTAGAAAAGGAGTTATAGCCAAAATAGCGAAGACTGGTCCAGGCGGCTTTTTCGAGAAACCGCGGCCAAGCCGTGCAGAACGGCCGGCCGAAGAACGAATGTTCCGCGGTCGGCCAAAGTCCAAACCATCCGTCCAAACCTCGGGATCCGGGAAGCAATGTCCCACGGTCGGCCAAGTCACAATCGTCTAACCAATGCCGAGCACGATCATGCCGCGCGAGCCGGGAAGCAACGCCTCGCGGCCGTGCGACTTGTCTCACGTACCACGACCGATCGCGCCGCCCAATCAGGAAAGCCGCGCCCCACGTTCGGCCAAGAAACATCGGCCAAGTCCTTCATCCGGCCGACCACAGCGGCCGACCACGAAACCCATCGGCCACGACCGTTCCGATAGCGGCCATGACCTGATAGACCGGCCGATCGTCCCGACCGACAGTTCGAATGCCGCGGTCGACCCAAAGCTGTTTTTGAAGCCCGATTTGCACAATTCAAGCCCAAAGTCGGCGCCGACTTATCAAGATTAGGTCTAGCCGCTTTTCCATACTTAGTGCATTATAAATACTTCTTTTTAGCCTTGTAATAAAAGAAAGAGACAGACCACAACTATTTTACATCTTTAATAAAGTTTTGCTTGCTTTTACTTTGTTCTTGCTTGTTCTCTTTCTAGAGAGGATTCGAATCTCTGTTCTTATGAATATGAATTCGTTTCCTTCTCTATGTCTGAGTAGTTTACTTGTTAAGTGATAGGAAGTCAAAGGATAGCATTCATGTATGCTTGATGATCGATCACAATTAGGGTTTTACTGATAATCTTCATCTTTGCTTATACCTAATGTTTGTTGTTAATCTGGCCAATTAGCATATGATCTTAGGTTGATTTGAGCCTCGAAAGTGCTGTATCATTCGCCTGAACTAGTATTTGGTGGGCAACCTCTTTTAGACTGCGAAAGTTGATTTACTTATAGGTTGAGAAGAAGATGATGCTATTCAGCACATCACTAGCTGGACCAGCACTAGATTGGGCGCAGCATGAGCCACTCTCTACAATCGAGTCATGGATCGATTTTAGAGAAGCTTTCTTGAAGAGATTTGCAAGGCTGCCACCTTTCAAATCCAAGTACCACCACTACTCTCATCAGCTGGAGAGAGAGCGTGATGAAGAAGAATGGGGAGGCATACCACCCCATCCTGAAGTCTTGAATGAAGAGCTAATCAAGCATGTGGAGAGAATCCTTTCTACAATTCTACTTCAGAGTGTGCAAAGGAGCATCTATGCAACTTTGAGCAGCTTTGCCATGACTATGGACTTGGAGACAACCCCAAGAAGATACAACTTTTCCAACTATCTCTAGCTGGACAAGCCAAAGAATGGGCTAAGTTCAATGCCCAACATGCTTTCAAGACTTGGAATGGATACAAAGGAGCTTTCCTTACAGATTTGCTAAAGGTCCTATTTATGTTCCACCACCACGCCCAAGCTATTCACAACACCATCCATCATCACCAGACATAAACAAGACACCACTTTTAAGGGAGAGCTTCAAACTGCGCGCCAAACCAAGATTGAAGAGATGCTTCAAGAGTACTTGAGAAATCAAGATGAGAGTACAAAGAAGATGGAGAGAGAATCGATTTCATCCATGAGAGCCTTGGAAACAAATCTGAAGTCCTATTCAAGCAAGTGATCAAGCTTGATGAAGACATTAAGAAGTTAAGAGAGGATCATGATCGATCTCTTGAACCCTAGTTAAGCTTGATGTTGCTTCCAAATATCAAGAGTTGCTGAACAAGAGCATGAGAATTGAAGATACTAGCTATGGCAATAGCAAGCATCTTGGATCATCTACAACCGCCTACAAGCCCTTGAAGGATCATCTCATGCCAATTACAAGAGAGAGAGGAGTCCAACACCCAACCACCCTCCCTTTTATTGCAATGCCATCACAAGAAGAAGCACTACCAAGTCCATGAGGACAATGAAGAAGAAGAAAGAGAGTATGAGGAACAATTGAATGATGAAGATGAAGAGCAGAGCATCGACATCAATGCTTCCCCAAAACAGAGCATGGATACACCTAGCCCTAGTTGACCCTCGTTTCTCACCAACACCACGAAGTCAAGCTTCTACACTTCCAAGATTGGAAGCATGCAAAGACCATCACCACCTACTGAAGAAGAAGATACTTGGCAATATGATCCCATTGATCCCAACAAGATAAGCCCCATGAAGCTTAAAGAGTTCAATGCTAAGGTGAAATCACTTCCATTCTATGTCACTTTTGAAGAAGCTTGGGATAAACATGATCTAGTGGAGTTCTTTTTCACAACTAGTGAAAACAAAGAAGAGATACACCAACTTTTCAGGAAGGCACGATTTCCCCATTGCCCCTCATGCAGTCAATCAACCACCATCACCACCATCACACCACCACCTGAATGGTATGTCAATTCCATATCAAGAGAGAAGCTTGCTGAGTTCAATCAGTTTGTCCAAACTCTTCCAGCCAGCATGTCTTCCAACAAGCTTGGCGCCACTACCCATTCACCACCTTCTTCCACAACTGCAAGAGACACCTGAGGACATAAAGAGCTTTTTGAGAAAGCTAAAGTTCAGCCTACCTTCAAGATAAATGGTCATTACTTTGATAGAACACTTGCGATTCTGGCTCTTGCATAAACCTCATGCCAACCCAAACCGCCAAACTCCTTGGCATCACACGCTTGCAACCTGCTCAAATTAGTATTGGACTTGCTAACCATACTATAGCCAAGCCAAGAGGAGTTGTTATTGATGTTCTTCTAGAGATTGGAGATATCAAGATCCCGGTGGACTTTCATGTCATGAACATCAAAGGAGGATGTGACACACCATTGATACTAGGCCGACCCTTTTTGGCCACTGCTGGAGCTGTCATGGACCTTCCAAACCGGCGAATGTCCTTAGCCAATGTTGACAAGACAGTCTTTTACAAGACCATACCATTCATCTCACCAAACAAGCTGTCTTACCTCATCACTGCCCAAGGCCGCCCAAGAGAACCACCAGACCACACTCAAGGTCACAATGAGACAAGAACTAAAAGACTATGTCTCAGGCCGTGCCCTTACCCCATCTCCAACTAAGAGATCCTATCAGTCAAGCTAATGACTCAAAAAGCGCTGCATGGGAGGCAACCCATGAAAGGTGTTTTTCTTTACTTTTCTTTTCAATTAGTTTTAGTTAATGTCTAGTTTTGTTTTGAGTTTTGGATACAGGAATCTAAGAACCACACAATGGTAAAGAAGATATACCACAAAGAAGAATGTCATAGTTGGCGCGACTTAGATGGCCGAGCAGAACCTCTCCACGCTCGCCCATGTCCTCTCAAGCCGCCCAACACACCATCCCATCTCATTCCATCTGCATCTCACCCATCCCACCTCACCACACTTGCATTCCATCACTACCATCATTCCACTGCATACACCATTCTTCAAGTAACAAAAATCAGGTTACATCTTTCTTTTTACATTCACAACCCTTTATTACCTCTTTCTTTAACTCCCTTAATTGGATTTTCTTTCACCGGGACGGTGCAAGTTAAGTCTGGGGGGATTGTCGGTACTAATGTGTTTGTTCATGGTTGTTTTGATCTTATAATTGGTTTTTCCTACCCACTTTTTCAAAACTTCTGTTTTATTGAGTCAAAATAAGTAGAAACTATGATCTTTCTTAGGAAGCTTACCATATCATACCAAAGTTCTTGTGATCATTAAGGCGAATCCGACACCGAACAGTGCCTAACGGAACCTCTAAGGGTGGATCAACCTACTGATTTGGCAAAATTTCTAAGGTACCTGATGATAGGATTTGTGTGTGGATGTGAAAAGATATGAAATGAGATGGGGAATGCAATCAGTGGTATATGATGAGGTGGTAAGATGCAAACACAAACACAGTCAACAATTCCCTTTAACCATGATAGTCATTGTAGTATAAAGGGTTATCAATCCAAAATGGGAAACTTGTCACTCTATGAGAATATGAAACAACCAGAAGTCAAGCAAGCAGTTAAGATTTGAAGTAACACTAACAACCTAAAAAAATGAAAAGCAGTGCAATAAAAGTAAAGAAAGCAGTGAAGCAGCTCGACCAAGACTCGAGTCGAGTAGAGCAAAGTACCAGCTCGATCGAGTTTAGGGACGAGTTGAGACAAACAAAGCTAAAGGTGACGACTTTAACAAGAATAAAGAGAATTAGGGTTCAAGACAGGGTTTTGCAATCAAAGGAATCTACACTTAATCAATCTAGCTCTTAAAACTCCTTGTATCAAGGCTTCTCTTGATATTGGGCTTCTCAATGCCTAGCCAACCCTTTCCCAAGGTGGAGGCTATCAACCAAGGAATGATCTCAGAAACAGGGGGTTAGCCAGTGAGAATCAAACCTTGGAGGCTATAGGATCATTGCCCAAACTAATCCATCCAACCCCTTAGACCTCTATTTCTAGAGCAAGAGATATTGGAGCTCTTAGTGGATCTTTTCCAGCGAATGCCATCACTTCGTGTGGGGAGTCGCCTAAGGACTTACAAGCCAGGGGTAGTGGTCATGTAGCCTTAAGATCTATCCAAAAGAGAGAGAATCTAGATTAAGACCATAAGCTAGAAGGATTAAGCATATGAAACCTCTAATCTATCCCATCTCAAACCCTAATGGGTAACTACTCACTACACATGAATGTAAACACAAGCAAATGCAATAAAAGAGACATCATAAGAAAGAGGAGATGAAATTAAACAACTTTTATTGAAATAAGCAAGTGCAAATACAAAGAGATTATCCAGGATCTAAGATTCAAGAAGCAAGAGCTTCAAGAACACAAAGATGGGATTAGATTCTAAAAAGTAAAAGACAATAAATTAAAAGAAACTAAAACAAAATAATCTAAAGCTTGGTGGTTTTTTCGTGGCTTAGAGCCTTTAAATACAAGAGGATTAGGTTTAGGGTCAAAGGAAGTCAAGGGGGAAGCAACATTTTTCGGGTTTGACTTTGACTTCCAGCTCGATCGAGTTGAAGCTTGGCCGGTCGAGTTGAGGAACTCGACCGGTTGGTCGAGTAGACGGTCGAGCTGGTCTTCAAGATGGCTTCTCCCTTCTTCCTTTGCGTATCCAGTTGAGCTGCTTCCATGTGCCAAGTCCCTCCATGCTCCTCATGTCCCATATGCTCCAGAATGCTCCAAAAGACCTATTTCAAAGGACCAAACATGCATATGTATGCAAATGCAACCTAAAACTAACATGAATGCATAAGAAGAGAAAAGGAACAAGATATGATGCAAATGGAAGCTAAAACTATGCAAAAGATGCATAAAAGATGTGCTAAAACTATGTAAAATGCAAGTACATCAACACCCCCAAACTTGAACTTTGCTTGCCCTCAAGCAAACAAATAGAACAAGAAAGAGATGAGGTTTGAAAATAAGCTGATTCAACACTTAAAAACATGTCCTCAAAAGCGATTTGCTAAATGTCCAACTTAGAGATTCTAGAATGCAACAAGGTGAGAGATATTCATTAAGATTTAACCATGCTTATCAACATCAATCCCACTTCACAGTCACTCAAACAATGCATTCAAATCAGCAAATCCCTTTAACATTCATTAAGCAAAAACAGTGAACCAAAAACATGCAAGATCAATCAACTCATTTGGTTTCAAGGGTTTATGGGTTAAGAGACAAAGAGGGTCTCTTTTGTATGGTGGTTTAGTAACAGGGATCTCTCAAGAAAGTGGCTTTGCTTTGGCAGAAGGCTAAGTGTTAGAACCAAAGATGATGCAAGAACAGCAGCTCGAGCCGCCTAATCCTAACTCGATCGAGTTCAACACTTAGAGCTTTTTAGAACAAAATCCTAACTACCCTTTTTGGCATTTCGCCTTTGAAACTGAGGAGCTTTGCTCACTTTTCTTTTAAGAACTTCCTAGGGAGAGGCTTCTTGAGGTAACATCTAGCGGTTTGGGATTTTCTAAACACTTAGGGAACTTTTCTTTCCTTTTTGGACACTTGAGGCTTTGCCTTCTTTTCATTCTACTTAGAACCCTTTTTACTTTCCTTTTTTAACTTCCCAAACCTTTACTAGACCCTTTTTAACACTGCCAACTCCCTGGACTTAACTAAACTCTTTTTCCTTTGGGTTTTTCCCAACTTTTACCACTTTTCTGGTTTTTACACCCAACTCGATCGAGCTCGAGTTGGCACCCCCAAACTTAGCCTGAAAACAATCCCAAGAGAACTAGACAACTAGAACTACTGCCCCTGCCGGTTTAAACACAACACCTTATGCTAAGCAAAGCCAAGAAAGGTTCTCACATTCGCACAAGAGATAATAAGGGGTTTGAAATGAAAAGGCTTAGGTTTAAGGTGTGGTAACTGTCTCAAAGATAGAGATCAGCTATCTGGACAAGCAAAGGGATATGAAAATGGTAAAGAATGTCCAGATATGTATGTGGTAGCCATGAGTTGAAATCAAATGCAAGCATTGGTAATTAAAGATCAAGTTATGGTTCAAATAGATAGGGAAATGCATCAAATCACAGCAATGGTTGAATGAGATGTGCATGCAGTGATATGATCAAGATAAACATGGTTCTTGCTGCTCAATCAATCTCACCCTAATGCACAAAAGAATCTAAAAACAGGGCACTCAAGAAATCGCAAAAGATGAACAAGTTTTCAAAGTCAAATCAACAATGCAAGTGAAAAATGCAATCCTAAACAAGTCTAACAAATATGAATGCAAAAAGATGAAAATATTTTTGGATTTTTTGAAAATTTTATGATTTTTTTGGTTTTTCTATGCAAAAGATAAATGAAAAACTAAGAACAAAGAAAACAAGGTTAAATCATCTCTTGAACCCTCCCCCAAACTTAAATCACACAGTCCCTTGTGTGAGAAAAATTTAGTGAAAGATTCAAGAGGGCAAAACCAAGAAAAAACAAGAACAAAGAAAGAAAATATGAAATGGTATATACAAGGGTTGGTGTTTGGATACCTCAGTGCCCCCCAAAGAACTGGGAGGCTAGGTCGTGGTCTGGAGATGGTAGACGGCCATCAGGAGCGCTCCACTCAACTGGGTTCGGCTCACTCGATCTCACTCGATCGAGTTGTGCCTCGAGTTGCCACTCTCTTCCTAAAACCTGCTCCTGTGACTTAGCCAAGAAAAATCATAAAATAAAAGGATAAAGTATAAATGCATAAGATAGACATGGGAATTCCTCCCAAGTGAGCTTGTTTTAGGTCTCTTAGCTTGACCTTACCCCTTTTAGGCCGGGGTTGGATCTTCTAGAGGAGTGATGATCTCCTCTGTGGGGGTCATTCCTAGATATGGCTTGCATCTATGTCCATTCACTGTGAATTCCTTCCCCTCTTGATTGAGCAAAGTGAGGGATCCCATAGGGTAGAACTTCGTGAATCTTGAATGGTCCCGCCCACTTTGACCTCAGCTTCCCGGGAAACAACCTTAGCTTGGAGTTATACAAGAGCACACTGTCCCCAACCTTGAAGTCCTTAAGGCGAATCAGTTTGTCGTGGGCTGCCTTGGTTCTCATCTTGTAAATCCTAGAGTTCTCATAGGCATTCATTCTTATTTCCTCCAACTCAAACAAGTTCATTACCCTCCTTTCTTGTGCTGCCTTTATATCAAAGTTCAGCATCTTTACTGCCCATAAAGCCTTATATTCGACCTCCACAGGTAAGTGGCAGTCCTTCCCATACAGCAAATTGAAAGGAGACCTTCCAATGGGGGTTTTGTAAGCTGTCTATAAGCCCAAAGTGCCTCATCAAGCCTTGCTGCCCAGTCTTTCCTAGTGAAGCTCACAGTCTTCTCCAATATGGCCTTGATCTGTCTGTTGGAGACTTCAACTTGCCCACTGGTTTGAGGGTGATAAGGCGTGGCGACCTTGTGTTGACTCCATGGCTTCTCATCAACTTTTCAAACACCTTGTTGATGAAATGGGAGCCTCCATCCGAAATAACAACCCTTGGGATGCCGAACCTTGGAAAGATGATGGTTCTGAAAAGCTTGACAACCACCTTGGCATCACAGGTTGGGCAGGGAATGGCTTCAATCCATTTGGATACATAGTCTACAGCAACCAAAATGTAGTTGTGCCCGTTTGAAGAGGTTTGAAAGGTCCCATGAAGTCTATTCCCCATACATCAAAAATCTCAACCTCTAGAATTGGGTTTAGTGGCATCTCGTCCCTCTTGGTGATCCCTCCTTTCCTTTGGCATGGATCACACTTGGCAATGTAGTCTGCTGCATCCTTAAACAAAGTAGGCCACCATAAACCCGATTGCAAAACCTTAGTTGCTGTTTTGAATGTAGCAAAGTGACCTCCATAAGCTGACCCATGGCAATGCTCTAGAACTCCTTGCACATCCTCTTCAGCATGCATCTCCTGTAAATGCTGTCTGGTCCTCTCTTGTACAGGTAAGGTCATCCCAATAGTAATGCCTAGCATCCTTGAAGAATTTCTTCTCTTGTAAGCATCAAAGCTACTAGGGACTTCTCCGGACACCATGAAGTTCACTATATCAGCATACCATGGCAAATTCTCATCACGCAGAGCCTTAACTTCTTCCAGCCTGACTTTCTCATCAAAACTCTCCTTCAAGATCATGATTGCCATAAGCTGTTCTTCAGGCATAGAATCATTGATGGGGATCATGTCTTCAACTCGCATCCTAGAGAGATGATCAGCAACTCCATTTTCTACTCCCTTTTTGTCCACAACTTCTATATCAAACTCTTGAAGCAAAAGGATCCATCTGAGAAGTCTTGGCTTTGTATCTTTTTAGCGAAGATGTGTCTAAGGGCAGCATGGTCAGTGTGCACAATCACCTTGGATCCAACTATATAGCTTCGAAACTTCTCAAAGGCAAAGACTATGGCAAGGAGTCCTTCTCTGTGGTTGCATACTTGCACTGAGCATCATCCATAGTCTTGCTTGCATAGTAGATGACATTGAGTTTCTTGTCTATCTTTTGGCCAAGCACTGCTCCTACTGCATAGTCAGATGCATCACACATAATCTCAAATGGGTGATCCCAGTTTGGAGCTTGTACTATTGGCGCAGATACCAGAGCATCCTTCAGCAAGGTCCAAGACTTGTGGCATTCTTCATCAAACTCAAAATCTGTCTCCTTGCATAGAAGCCTTGTCAAGGGTCTTGCTATCTTTGAGAAATCCTTGATGAATCTTCTGTAGAACCCTGCGTGACCCAGAAAACTCCTTATGTCCTTCACAGTCTTGGGAACAGGGAGCTGCAACATGACATCCACCTTAGCTCGATCGAGCTCGATCCCTTTCTCGGAAATCTTGTGTCCAAGCACAATCCCTTCTCGAACCATGAAGTGGCACTTCTCCCAGTTGAGTACTAGATTGGTCTCCTCACACCTCTGCAACACCCTGCACAAGTTAGACAAACATGAGGAGAAGGATGCTCCATAGACTGAGAAATCGTCCATGAAGACTTCTACCATCTCCTCTATCAGATCTGAAAAAATGGAGGTCATGCACCTCTGGAAAGTAGCTGGAGCATTGCACAGCCCAAATGGCATCCTTCGATAAGCAAAGGTGCCATAAGGGCATGTGAAAGTGGTCTTCTCCTGATCATTAGGGTGGATCGGGATTTGGAAGAAACCACTGTAGCCATCAAGAAAACAATAAAAGGGTGGTTTGCCAATCTTTCTAACATCTGATCAATGAAAGGGAGAGGGAAATGATCCTTTCTAGATGCTGAATTTAGCTTCCTATAGTCAATACACATGCGATGCCCCACTATTGTTCTAGTGGGAATCAGCTCCTCTTTGTCGTTTTTAATGACAGTGATCCCCCCTTTCTTTGGGACGCAATGAACTGGAGATATCCAAGTGCTATCACTGATGGGATAGATTATCCCAGCATCAAGCAACTTGAGTATCTCTTTCTTCACTACTTCCTTTAGATTGGGGTTCAACCTTCTCTGAGGTTCAATGCTTGACTTACTTTCATCCTCTAGATGAATCCTATGGATGCATAGGTCAGGGGAGATCCCCTTGATATCATCTAGAGTGTAACCTATTGCCTTTCTGTACTTCCTCAATTCAACAAGCAAAGCACTCAACTGTTCAGGTTCCAAATCAGAGTTCACAATGACAGGGTAAGTTGAGTTTTCACCCAGAAATGCATACCTGAGGCCCTCAGGCAAAGGTTTGAGGTCGACTTTAGGCGCCTTGAGCTCAGACCAATCTCCTTGAGCTTGCTCCTTGCATTCAGCCCCAGCTCGATCGAGTTCGTTTGTTCGAGGCTCGACTCGATCGAGTTCTTGATCGAGCTCACTGCCATGACTTCGCAAACTGGCCTGTCCAATCCCTCAATGCTCAGAATGTTTGGAACTGGTCTGAAGGTGTCAAGGAGCTTCTTGTACTCATCAGTTTCTGAGCTCACATATCCTTCTGAAGAATCCTTGGTCAAAGCAACTTGTAGGGATCCTCTGTTGATAACTCTTCTGAAGCTCATCTGCCAACTGATCCATTTCCTCAACATAAAAGAGCTGACCTTCTATAGTTGGTTTCCTCATTGTATCCTTGATATCAAACTTCATCCTTAGGTCCTTTCCCAAGTTTAGCTCAATTGTTCCTTCACAGACATCTATCATTGCTCTTGCTGTAGCTAGGAATGGCCTTCCTAGAATCAATGGATCTGTTGGTTCCTCATCCATCTCAAGCACAATGAAGTCTGTGGGGATCTCCACATTCCCTATCCTCAAAGGCAGGTCTTCAAGCATCCCAGTTGGTAACCTTATCGATCTATCTGCCAAGACTAGTGAGATTCCGCAGGCTTGGTACTTGTGATATCCCAGTCTCTTTGCTACGACAAAGGCATGAGGCTGACAGATGATCCTAGATCGCAGAGACTGTTTTTGAAAGATAGGGGTCCCAACATGCAGGGCAAAGTGAAACTCCCCGGATCTTCCTTTTTGTCGGAGATGACCTTCCGCTGAATGATTGCACTGCACTCACGAGTCAACACTACCATCCCTTGTGCTTCCCTGGTTCTTTGCTGAACAGCATCCTTCAGAAATTTCTGATAAGGTGGAATGAGCATCAAGGCGTCGATGAAGGGCAACTTCAACTCAAGCTGTCTCATTAGTTCATCAAACTTGGCCTTGTGTGCTTCCAACAGTTGTTTCTTGAACCTTCCTGGAAAGGGTAGAGGGGGTTGTATGGTGGTGGTCCTGCTGGAGTGTCTTTCTTCTTTGCAACAGGTTTAGCTGGTTGGCTGGAGTTTGCTTTGTCTGCTCTCTTCTCAGCTCGATCGAGCTCTGGTTTGTCTTGCAGTGTCTCGGTTTCTTCAGCTCGATCGAGTTCTGGTTCAGGGTTTTGTTCCAGCTCGATCGAGTTCGGTCGAGTTATCAGCATAGTCGACTAAATCCTCCCCTTCCTCGTCATCGATGTCCACAGCGATTTGGGGTGGGCTACCTCTACTTGGGAATTGCTCCCACTTCTTAGTGTAACTGCTTGGGCATACTCTTGTGGTGAAGAGGATGATGCACTTGAAGACTCAATGATTTGGACTCTTGAAGTCAATGACTCTAGTTTAGAGTGTATCTCAACCAGCTTGTTGTTCATTTCCAGAGAACCTTTGGCTTGCCCTTGTAAAAGTTGTTGGAGCATTTCCTTCATATCCCAATCTTGAGTTGGTTGGGTATGAGTAGTCCTTGTGGTTGAAACCTTGTGGAACACTTTGTTGTTGGTGCGGCCAGGGGGCTTGATAATTGTTGTATCTCCCTTGTTGAGGATTCCTATAGCTTCCTTGTCTATTTTGAATGTAGCAAACCTCTTGTGTTGTCTCCTCCCCTTCCTGGTCCTTGACTAGGTTTGTTCTGAGACATAGTTGACATGCTTGGCAGGGAATTGGGCTAGGATCAGTTTGTCCAACTTCGAGTTGAGTGCAAGCATGTCTTTTCTCATCTGAGCGTCCAGCTCGATCGAGTGCGCGGTCGAGCTCCAGTCTGTACTTTCATAGTGCTCTCCATAGCACTGTTGATATGGCCATGTTCTCCACAAGTTGCCAGCCATCATCTACATCCTGGTTGAGGAAGTTCCCATTGCTAGCTGTGTCTAGCATCTCCCTATACCTAGGCAAGCATCCTCTATAAAGAGTGGAGAGTAGTGATTCATTGTTGAATCCATGGTGTGGGCACTGACTTGTGTAGCCTTTGAACCTCTCCCAAGCCTCTGCGAATGTCTCATTGTTTCGCTGGATGAAGCTGGATATCTCTCCTCTAAGCTTGGCTGTGCGACCGGTGGAGAAAAACTTAGCAAGAAAGGCCTTCTTGCATTCATCCCAAGTGGTGATTGTGCCATGGGGCAAGCTCTTCTCCCATTGGTGAGCTTTGTCAGCTAGAGACATAGGAAAGAGTCTCAGCTTGATGGCATCTTCAGAGACACCATTGATCTTTGTCAAATCACAAAGCCTATCAAACTCATCAAGGTGGTCAATGGGGTCTTCACTTGGCAATCCATGGAACATCTTGTTCTGGACAAGGTTGATCATTCCCAGCTTGATCTCAAAGTTGTGGTTCTGCACTGGTGGTGGAACAATCCCTTGTCTCTGTTGGTGGCGGTTTGGAGCATCTCCTTGACCAATCGGTCGAGTTTGCCTAGCTCGACCGAGTCCATTGCCCAAAGGGTTTCCATTCCCCTCTGGTACATCCATTGTATCAGCAACAAGCACCTCAGGTTCCTCTTGTACCCTCTGTGACCTCTGAACCCTCTTTCTACCCGTTGTGAAGTCTAGCTCGACCAAGTCTTCTGTAGACCGACTCGATCGAGTTCGCATACACCTGCAAAAAGAGACAAAAACCCAGCAGTACAATAGAACAGGGATGATATGGTATGGTGCAAGCACAATCAATCAATTCCTCTTAACCATCATAGTCA